AGCATTAAGAAACAAAAACAAAATGATTCTTCAAGGTGAGTGCCAGGATAGTGGACTCTTTGCTCTTTTTTGTCCTGCTGACAAACACTCTGTCAAGTAGGATCCCGGTATCAGTAGTTCTTCCTTGCTTGGGAGAACTGAAGAAATGACAAGATCTGCCCTTGAGGGACAGGCATTCATCAACAAGTTGTATGCATAATTGAACACCAGTTTGACAGATATGACAAGGAGTACCATTCACCTCTTAACAGGAATGATGATACAAGGACCTTAAGGGTAGCTATAGGTTTTAAAACAGATCTGAAGGACATGCCAAGAGATTTCCTTTCTTTTCCATCCTCAAAAAGAAAAGCACACTGTTGTTTTTCTGGTATCATTGTAACTGAATAAAATCTTCATATAGAAAAAACCCCCGAATGAAGCCAAAAACGAACTAAGCAAGCTAAACTATACATAAAAGATACATTATCTATATCCAAGCTAACCTATCTAAATATACATTTAACAAAACAGAAAAAAGAAAAAGAGTACTTCTAATTTGCTTTTTGTGGTTATGATTAAACTCTTTAAACTTTTACCTCTTTCTAATTTTTTAAGTTACACTCCATCTCAGACTTAGACTAATTAATAAAAGCAACAGTCATCAAATCCGCAGCCTTTTTGTTTCCCTAAGTTAACAAGTGGTTTCCAATCTTTCAAAAATGTTATTCATTATTTTTCTTTAATCCAAATGGAGAATTTGTCCATTTCCATTAAATCATTCCATTTAATAACCAATTTTTCTTGGTAGACAATAAGTAATTCTTTTATTTTTGAGCATAGAATATTCTTGCAGCTACTGTCCTATACTGAAGTATGCTTCCATTACTCCTCTTGAGTTGATCGTCAGTCTATCTCAAAAGGTTTTAATTGGATATCAATATTTATTTTTTGCAGCAAAGTGCATTTGAATCCAACAGTTTTTAATATTTTCACAAGTCTACCACATAAGGGGTCTTTCTTTCTGACTACATTTCCTACATACATTCAGTGTTTCCTTACACATCTTAGATCATTTCTCTGGTGTCATATGCCAACAGTACTGTACATTGCTTTATAAAAATATTTTTAAGAACATAACACAAAATGATGGCATCTTTCCCCCCTTGTTCCATTTGTCCATTATGTTCAAAGTTTTAGCCCATTTTATCATGCAGCCCTTCACACATTCATCTTTTATCTCAAAGGTTTATATATTTATCATTTCCCTTTCATCATTCATACATAACTGTGCTTCAAATTCAGACCTAGTTCAAAACCATAGTTGTGTTTATCTAATTTAAACCTTTCAAACAACTGTAAATAAGAAAACCACTGAAATTCATTCCCTTTCCTCAATAATTGCTCCTTTTCATGTTATAGTTTTTTAACAGTTCAACATAGCAATTTTTCTTTGTCACTTGTTTCTTTTCTATAGAAACTTTCCTGTGTTGAGACCAATGGTGGCATTTTCTGGTACAACTTGGGTTTGGAACGTGTCTATATTTTCAGTAAGGCACATCTTTCATGATGATGATTAAAAATCTACATTCAAATTAATCTTATTGTACCATAGATATCAGTGCCTACCGAAACTCACCTATTTTTCACAGTCAACGGTATGCACCAAAAAATAATCTCAAATTTGGAATAAGTCTATCATCTTTTCATCTCTTTTACATAGTTCTCTTGGGTATTGTTTCCATCATCTTGTTCATGTTTATTGCTTATTTTTGTTTATGAGATTTATTTTAATTGTTTTGCATTGCTTGTTGTTATTGCTTTTGTTATTGATGTGTTGTGGGCTCGGCTTCATGTAAGCCGCACCGAGTCCCTTGGGGAGATGGTAGCCGGATATAAATAAAGTTTTATTATTATTATTATATTATTATCTTCTTATTTATACTTCATCATGTAATGCATTCCTCTAGTGGTCATAGACCATTTCCACTCTTGATTTATTGATTGTTATTGTTCTTTAGCTTTACTTGAATTTTTTATTAGTAGTAGTTCATGGTTGGTGCTGCAATCTGATCCTGGTACTGCTTTTGCGGAGAGAATGAGGCTTTTCTTTCTTTTGCTTTCAATTATGTAGCCTATTCCATGTCTATATTGGCCATCAGATGATGTCCATGTATATAATCATTTATAGGACTGTGCCAATAATATGTTTGCAATGAACACATCACTGACCTCCCAAATTCAGTCGATTAATTTATTGCTTCAGTTCTTGATCGCATGCCAAATTTTCCTGCCATCTCTGATCGCATGCCAACTTTTCCTGCCATCTCTTTTTCCTAATGTTGCATTGCTATTCCCTGTGATTAACACAAGGTCCTGGAGCATGAACTTGGATTATGGTTATATTAATATGTTTTACCTGAAGATTTGACCACACTTTGCATTATATCCCTCAGTGACTTTTGCTACATCTTTCTTCACATTATAAATGCTACCCTATTCTTTCTTAACTTTTCATTTCAAAAACACTGTGATTATCTGATTTAAAATGGAACATTCCTGATCACTTTATCTAGCTCACCCCAAGTATTGCAATGTCATCTCACAAGCATGTTTCAATAATATCTGTTGTGCAACTTCTTTTCACAATTTGAATACCAATTATGTCTCTAATTTATTAGCAAATTAAAATAAAATTTTATATTTTATTTTAAACTAATCTCATCCACCAAGATAAGTCACTCATATTAAAGAAATTTTTTTCTTAACTAGGTTACATATAATAGACTATAGAATAAATTGCTGAAAAGAAATGTGATCTGTAGTTGTCACTACTAAACAATTTCATTGTGAATTATACATAATGTTCACCTTAATAACCAAGATACAAATCCTTGCATTTTCTAAGGAAAAACACAAGGCTATTTGAAGGAAGATACAATCATTTGAAAAATGATGTGATCAACAACAAAACAGATAATATTAAACTATATTTTTCTATTTTTCTCCAAGAATCTCTGCCAAATTTGGTGTATTTTTTATAATTATTATAGCACAAGGACAGATAAAGTATGCCTCCAAGGCTTTTCCAGTACGAATTTTAGGATCCCCAAGGGATTCCCAGCACTCAAAAATAATTTCAACTCTATATGCCATTTACACATTTAAAAAAAATACTTCCATTCACTTCTTGTTGCTGAAAAGCCCTCTCATGGGTCTAAAATGCCCAGGGGCCCTAAAATATGACAAAATTACCGTCCATACCACCTAGAGGGCATTTTTAAGCTACAATGGGGTGGGCATCCAAACTATCCTGTAGGGCTAACATGGCCCACTGGCTTTCCATAGATGTTTATCCTGTCATAGCTGTATGATCCCATTAAGTGCCATGACTGCCTTTTAGGGAATCCTGGGATCTGTAGTTTAGAGCGGGGCTCAAGGAGCTCTTTGATAGATAATTCTAAACATTCCCTCTTAATTTGCACCTCCAAGAATTCTATAAGATGATATCATGGCAACCAAAGAGGAATGACAGGGTTATACAGTCAGCTCTCCACGTTTGACTCTTGCGTATTTGATTAAAATGTTCTTTCTAGGAATCTCGGGGTTCCAGCAGACGTTGACTACAAAATCACACTAGGGGGCCCTAAAGAAAGGTGCTTTCTCAGGTTAAAAAATAGCAATTTCTTCATGAGGGTTCCTAACCACAATGACTGTGGAGGTCTAACTGTAACTGTATAGCATTTTCAGGTTTTGTAATGCTCTAACTTACATTGGTTCTAAACAGAAACAATTCCCCTCCATATTCTATTCATAACAGAACATATCCCAACCTGGTTGAGATACAGAAAGGAGAAAATCCCAGGAGACACTCTCCCCCTGTCTAGCTCTCTACGGAGGTCATCCACCAAGGCGACCAAAGCTATCTCTGTTCCGTAACCAGGCCTGAAACCAGCTTGAAATGCATCCAGAAATCCTTGGAGTTGGGAGGCCACCACATGCTCCATAACCTTGCTCAGAATGGAAGGTTAGACACTGACTGATAGTTGTCTATTATAGAGAGGTTCAGATGTGGTCTTTTTAATATAGATTTCACAACTGCCTCCTTTAGGCAAGTTGGGACTTTGCCTTGTTCCAAGGAGTCACTGACCACCACCTTCATCCACTCTGCCAATGCTCCTTTGGCCTGTTTGATCAGCCTGGAATGCATATGGTAGCTCTGACTTCTCCAAGGATCCTGTCCACATTTTCAGGCTGCACAAACTGAAAGGTACCCATCAACACTGGATAAGTAGGAGCTAAAGTTACATCCATTGAAACTGTACTAATAACAGCATCCAAGTCAGAATGGATCTGAGCAACTTTATCCGCAAAGTGCCTTGCAAATTCTTCACAGTGGGCTGCTAAATGGTCCAGCATGTAATAACCTTCTGACCACTTGAAACAGCTCAGCTGGATGGTTCCTTTTAGATGCAATGGTGGCCACAAGGAATGATTCTCTGCTGCCTCCATTGCTGCCAAGTAGGCTTTCAAATACGCTCTAGACCAAGCATGGGCAAACTTCAGTCCTCCAGATTTTTGGACTCGAACTCCCACAATTCCTAAAAGTCGGTAGGGAGTTGGAGTCCAAAACACCCAGAGGGCCAAAGTTTGCCCATGCCTAGTCTAGCCCGTGCTCAATCTGATTCGTTTCGAGTTTTCTACCAATGTCACTCTTGCTTTATTGCTGTCAACTTCTAATAAAACCAAGGAGCTGATTTGGCTCTGCTCCGTGAAAGAAGAAATGTCTACTCAGTTATTCGTGAAAAGTAACAGAATCACATAAATTTATTCTAAAGGGGGAAAAATCAACATATTCCAAGCAGACAAAATAAAAGCTGAAGTTCTTTTAAGAGCAAAGTATTTTAAACGAGCAAATACATATCTAATGGATTGGATCCAGACTTTGTTTCAGAATTAAGAGATTTCAGGGTTTTTTTAAACAAACATCTCCAAATAGTGGTCACATGGTAGCTACATACCTTGGGAGAAGAAGAAAGATCTTTCACTGCATGAATAGCTGACGTGTTCTCACTTGTTTCCCTTTCTGTCTTTGGTGAGAGGACGGGTGGTTCAGGAGCTTTTCTTTTCATTTTCCTTTCCATTTCTTGTAGTGAAGTAACTTGATTATTTAAAGCAGAACTTGATTTTGGTTCATAAAATGGGTTTGATCTAATTAAAAGAAATGAAATGTATTTCTTTGCTGTTTTTGTAACTTTAATGCTATTTTAAAAGTCAACTGTTTGCACAAAATAGTGGTTACAGGCAGAATTCATTTACTAAAAATGCCAAACAAAAACACCACTCGTTGTATTGCTGGATCTCCCTCCCCCTAGAAAACATTAACTGATGAGTGACGTGTGCACAGAAGTAGCCACAAAGAATGTGTAGAGCCAAAAGATCTACGGTCACCAAAATCCCTTAACAGATCTACAGAAGTCTCACATTAATTATGCATCAAGGACATTCAATTCTCTCTGAAGAGGAAGGTTTTAGTATGCTTTCTTTCAACATTTATTTTATTATGTATTGCAATAAAAGACAGATTTTCCAAAACTACTTCTCCATTTCTTTACATAAGAACGAACTACTGGAAGATTAACACATTGATTATTACAGTCAAATCCTGCTACCCTTGCAGTTTAGTTAGGATTGCAGTTGAAACCCATGCTGAACTATCACAGAACTCAATGAAATTTACTTCTTCATATTAATACTTTGGCTTGCACTGCAATTGTCCTATACACACAAATAAATGTACAGCAATTTCACTTTTTAATCCAGATTTTTCTATACCAATCATTTTTAAATGCATGGTCCAAGATGTAAAGCCTATATGCTTGGATGATTTTTGAGATCCCCCATGCCAGTCACTGTTCTGCAGTTTGGTAAGGAAGATGTGAGAACTTCAGGAGCTGTAATATGGCATACGGTGACATCAGCAGACTGCCTACATTCTTAACAGTTGGAGCGGAGAAAGAGCAAACTGCTGACTTCGCTAATGAGACTGATAAATCATGCATATCTTTTCTGAGTTCAAAATATCTCTGACCTTCCAAAATACAACAGACTAACTTGTTAAAGCTCAGAAAATTTTATTTTATCCAAGTGATTTCACCAACCATTCTGTCTCCACCAATCATTCATATCCAATTCTATTTTAAGTCTACATATTTAGAAGGAACAAAGATGTATGCACAGTTTGTATTTTTAAATAACACATCTTTTTGAGTATAACTCTGCAAACAACAACAACAACAACAACAACAACAAATATGTTTGTATTTTCTGTACATTTGACTTTTTTGGTGGTCTCGCTATGTGAGGCCAAACAAAATACAATTGACCCAGGTGTAATATAGAATCCTCATTTGTAAAGTGATCTGAATAAAAATGGATTGAAAATAAACACTAAAAACCCGATTACTGAAATCTCAAAAACCTCACAATTGTCTGCGAGCTTGAATGAACTAATATCTGGTATGAGTGGGACCCAAAGAAGGACCATTTACAGAAGGGCATGTGATCCAGCAGCACCATCCACAAATGGAATGGGGGAAGAGGCTTTTCACAGATTCTTCCTGACTGCCTTAGGACCCGCTCTTCAAAATCTGGGTTGAGGATAGTTAGATATGATATAGGAGACAGAATAGAACAGAGGGAAAAGGGGATACATGAAGATGTGTGACAATTTACTTTTTAAATTTTATATTTCCTTTAGTTAGTTCTCGTGAGATGGGGCCCAAGGTGACTGGCAAGAAATGAAAATAAAGTACAGCTAAACTTTTATTATACAAAAAGTAAAAATGAATAAAAATTCCAATAAAAGCACTGTGTTAATTAAAAAAAATAAAAACACAGCACGCTTCACTAAAAAACCTCCTTTTYATGTGTTAAGAACCAAAGATCTGTCTAAACCAGGGGTCCTCAAACTAAGGCCCGGGGGCCGGATACGRCCCTCCAAGGTCATTTACCCAGCCCTCGCTCAGCGTCAACCTAAGTCTGAAACAACTTTAAAGCACACAACAACAACAACAACAACAACAATCCTATCTCAACAGCCAAAAGCAGGCCCACACTTCCCATTGAAATGCTAATAAATTTATATTTGTTAAAATTGTTCTTCATTTTAAATATTCTATTTTTTAAAGTGTTTTTGCACTACAAATAAGATATGTGCAGTGTGCATAGGAATTCATGTTTTTTTTCTTCAAATTATAATCCGGTCCTCCAACAGTTTGAGGGAGTGTGACCTGGCCCTCTGTTTAAAAAGTTTGAGGACCCCTGGTCTAAACAAAAAGACTGTCAATAGAAAGAGAGCATGGGAGGAGGGCTGAACCTCGGATGGGAGCCCACTGCTTGAAAATAGCTACCCTGAGGGCTCTTCTCTTATGTCCTCTCCAGACTGCCCTGTGATAGTGGTGGGACAATGAAAAAGTTCTCAGTTTTGCAGAACGTTTCACAAGATTCTTAACAGTAAGGCACCTTTGGATCCTATCTGATGTCTACAGTTCAAGTTCTCTGAAGAACAAATGATAATGATGATGATGATGATGATAATAATAAAACTTTATTTATACCCCGCCACCATCTCCCCAAGGAGACTCGGGGCGGGTTACATGAGGCCACGCCCATCAATACAATATACACAATAAAACACAAAAACACAACAAAAAATAAAAAAAAATCTAAAGTACAAAACCAATGTATATAAGCAACGCAACAATAAAAAGTCAAAAACATTGATACCTTTAACACAGTAGAACACTCTTGAGTCAGATCTCATTATTCTCAATGCAGCCTTCCATGGCCAAATTACTAGTTAGTTCCAACTAGAGGAGACCCATTGAATCAATGTAACTTACAAGCTCCTACACAATTTGTAATTTTCCCATGTGCCTAGTGTAACCAGGATTTATTATTAGAGTTAGAACAATAATGTACTGGTTTGAAATTCATTTCTCAAAGTATTTTGAGCAATTCTAAATGTATTTCCCTGTTTTTCTGATATAGTTTCACCACAAGGAATTTCCTACCCAAGTGCCCCTCAGGAATGGTACACTGCTTCCTGTTGAATACATTGGCCTGCAGATTCATTCATGTTCCTGCTGCTTTCTCCCCACTTGTATATTTTGTTGGATTTGTATTGATTTTATCTGCTGTGTGTGTTACTTTAATGATTCTTCATTGTTTTAATTTGGTTTATAAGCTGTCTTGGATGGCTCAAATTGTGAGCTGGAAAGGTAGAGGATAAAAAAACAAGTATGTTTTTAATGTTCACACATTTATCATCTTCCCATCCTGTTTTCAAACTTTTTTTTGTTTTTTAGGTAGGAAGAAATCACCGGAAAAGATGAAGAACCAAGTTTGCTAATTATTTAACTGAAACTATAGGAATAGAAGAAGACATTAAAGCAAATTCAAAGTTCAGTCTAATTCACAAAATATTTTAAAGTGGGGTTGACATTATTTCTTACAGAAAGAAGATGTAGATCTAGATGAATGAATGCAAGGGGAAACCAAGACTAAAATAACTACATTGCAAAGTGAAGTCACCGTTCAGGTGTTCTCACATCAGCACCCATCAAACACACAAACATGAACAAAACCAAAGCTTTGGCTGATGTCAAAATAAACAAAAGAGATGTATGGTACAGAAGGTGAAGGTAGAACGACATTCAGCATGGAACAGAAGATTCAGGAGGGATGTCAATCATTCAATTGTACTGACAACCTTATTGAGCATTCTTTAAACATTAAGGAAGTTCAAAAGAAGGTGAAAATAAAGATGGGGTAAATGAGATAAGAACAAGGTCACTATAGATACATGGGAGGTCAAAATATTTTCTTTTGTTTTAGATGTTATTTTGGGGGTGGGGATATTTAATAAAAATAGTATGTTTTGACAACAAACTACTTGATCCTCTGTGGCCCTGGAATTAGAGAATCAGTACATCCTAAAGATTTCCCACAGTTAGCATTAAGTTGTCACGGGTTCTTTGGAATAAGAAAGAACATTTCAGTAGCAATATTTTTCAGGTAAAGGTTTGCAGTTTCTTACAATGTTTGACCACATTAGGTTTATTAAACAAGTTACAACATACACCCACACTCACCCATAGTTTATTTTAATGTTAAACTACACAAAGGTTGCATTTCAAATTTTATTTCACCTAAATTTGTTTTTATGGTTTTTTTCACCAGCCAGTTTGTAACAAACCCCTTAAAGATGTTTTACTACATCCAGACATTTAGGTTTGAGAAAATGTAAGTTGAGAAAAAGTATATGATCTGATCCTACTTTAGGAGGCAGATAAATGAGCCCAATGACTAAATAGTTATCATGTCATCTTCTTTACCAGTGGGGAGTTTGTTTTAGGGAAAAGTAATCTACTTTGTCCTTGTCTTCAGTGAGGCAGTTTTCTATGGGCTTGTGCTATGGAAACTTTAAAATGTGCTCTTTAATATGACACATGCATATGAAAAATACAACCCCCTCACTAGCATTCTGCAATAATAAGAGTTCTCACAGGATCATATACTGTGATGTTCATAATATATAAACCAACACTTACTCACAGTACAAAGAGATACTGTAAATTTAGCACTGAATATACAGAAGAAATATTCTTATTTACTGAATAATAGTAAACAAGTACAGAGAATCACAGAATCATAGTGTTCGAAGAGACCCCAGGGGCCACCCAGTCCAATCCTCTGCCATGCAGGAAAATATATTCCAAGCACTACTGGCAGATGACCATCAAGACTCGTCTTTAAAACTCCAGAGAGGGACACACCACCGTTCTCTGCAGAAGCATGTTCCACTGCCGAACAACTCTTACTATCAGGAAGTTCTTCCTAATGTTAGGTGAAAACTCTTTTCCTGTAATTTTTATCCTATGGTGACTTTATGAAGATATTACTGTAAGACTACAGAGAACAATTGTCTTAAAATCCATTCGTGCTGTTGACATTGAATAGATTGATATTTATTCTTCGTATTCTTACAGTAAGATCTTCATAAACTCACCATAAAATTAGATAATTAATCCTTGCATCACTTATATTAGACCTACACAACTTGGCAAGAGTATGGGGCCGAAATTAAACAGGCTAAACCTCTTTGGGCTGCAGATAACTTTTTTGTGTCTTACTCACGGTTTGTGAGA